CTTGGCATCAATCCAGTCTGCCAAAGACTATTGTGGTGCCAAGTCGAAACCGCACTTTTTCGTACAGTGGGTCGTATCCGATTAGCATATGCGTCACTGTACGAAAAAGTGCGGTTTCGACTTGGCACCTCAATATCACCTTTCGCGACCGGATGGATCACTCCAGCGACACCTTCCGACTGTATGTTCCTGCTACCAAGCTAAAAATGCAAGACAGAAAAAATTTTTAATCGACACATAATTATTAATTGACAAGCTGGTAAAAAATTAAAAAAATTGGTGTCTGCTTTTTTCCCAACAAATATTAATTGGTTACGAACTTACGGTTAGCTGAAGAGTTAAGACATAAAATGAAGCACTTACAGTTAAATGTAGTCTTGTAGATACGTACTACGATAGCGCGATCTTTTTTGCGGAATACATCCAGTTTCTCAATGCATCCAGTTTCTCTGTATAATGCTTTGCAGGATATTTACAACAGTACAAGTACACGCAGTACAGTAATAACGCGATTTTGAGAGTCATCTCTTCTTGTTTTGTGACCGTGGACATCTTTTTCTCCCGTACTTTGATCGGCAGATTCGGCACATCTCTCGTGTTCTTCTATGCTCCGTTATTCTAAGCCGTTAAAGTTGTGACAAACGCTCGCTATGATTACCTAATGCGCACAGAAATAAACAAAACTATAAAGGAGGTCGAATTAAAAATTTATTCAGAAGAAATCTAGCACCAAACGGGAGACGACCTTTATCCGGTTTCGCTCATTCTTTCCGAAAAAGCTGTGTTCGTCGATGAGAACATTTTAACAGTGTCCATTTCTTCTTGAAAGCGACGAAGTTTATTACCTTCTGGATTGCGGAACACACGGTTAACCAAAACTAATAATTTTACAATTTATGGGCGAGCCGTCAGTTTCGGAAATTGCTATAGTGGTCTGAAGTTCTGAACCGCCTAAAACATCGTCATTTACCTGATGAACGTATCCAGTCACAGTGTCTGAGTTTCAGAGTTGTTTTCTAAGAGTTTTATTACCTAATAGGAAAGAGAATAGGGTAATACGAGCACAAGAATCAATGTCCTGGAATTTTTTTCCGACGATCCGTTGTCTTCTTTATCCTTGCGTCAGCTTCACTTTGGCGGCCATTCGTCGTTTAGCTCCTGTCCGGCAGATATTTGTGTTGTACGAAACTGGGATTAATATTTAGTTCAGGATTGTCACTTTGGATTTCGAGATTTTGGTGACCACGGTTCGCACCCTCTTCTGGGGAATTGTTGTTTTTTTTTGCTGTCGTTTGTGGGATTTGAGGCTTTTCTACTTCTTTGGGGAAACAGTAAACCTCTTTATTACAGGAACGGTTAAAATCAACACATATGGTTTAATGCCCACGTGTGCTTAATTCCTGTGGCTCAGATGCTCGTGTTTCGAAGGTCATACGCTGGTCGGCGCTGTACTGCGTATCGTTGTTTTCCGTTAGTGTACTGTTGTGAGTAGTGTAATGTGGACTATAGGCAACTACAGCGTTCGTTTTTTGCCGAATGTTTTACTGGCCGCTTGCCCAGCATCGTCGCACACTGTTTTGCAAAGTTCTTGAGCAGTGGCGCGGTGATTTCGCGGTCATTGGTTAAGGATGTCGAAACCGTTTCTTGCCGCTGCGATATTATGGATCACGGTTTTTAAAAAAAATAAATACAATGAGCAACGTCCACAATAACTGACACATGCTCGAACATCGGGCGACGAGCATATGTCAGTTATCGTGGTTGCTGTGGGTGGATGTTCAGTTTGTGAATATTGGAAGACTGCACTGAATTTAATATGAAATGCCGAATTTAAAGGGATTGTACATTCCGCGGTATTCAGGTTCAAGCGAAATACTACGCTGTTCGATAATGTATGACTGGCATACTCGAGTTCCGTTTATCGGGCTAGTACGAATTCGTAACATTCGGTTCACATAAGCCGTTTCCTTTCATTCGTAAAAATGTATACGCGGTGTTAGATCGCGGAACAGCGCGCTAGTTTTTGAGGGAAGTTTCTGTAAAGTATAATTATGTCATCCGTCACAGCGAAACGTGCTACAGCTGCGCTCTGTAGTGGGTTCCGCTGTGGTCAGTTATGGTTCATACTCGCAATAAAGTCCGACTGCGGTAGATTTGCCAAATCCCGGAGTTTCAACAGAGTGCCATTTCAGATCAGTCGGCCTCCATGCGGCATTGTTTTGGCCGACTGATCCATGCGGCATGCGGATCAGTCGGCCTCCATTGCCGCTGGACAAATCAGTCGGCCTCCATGCGGCATTGTTTTAACTTTTAAGATACCATTACCCAGCCTTTCATTTTGGTGCCCAATTTGGCCACCAGGAGGCCGAATTTTCCTTGCTGCAGTAGGGCAGATAATGCAGTAACAGCGCACTATGATATGTATATTACGTAAATTGCCAATAAGAAACAATGGGCTAATCATTTTTTTTATAGCTTTTATTCCAAATTTGCTTTTCGTATGAGTTTTCAGTCCACTTTGCGCTCACTGTGATATCTGTTTTATTACTAGCTTAAAGAGGTACACCCGTGATGCTGGCGTTATCCTGGATTTTGTTTTGATAACAATGCTGTAAAACGCTATAATCATTCTGTCGTGATTAGCGTGATAGTTTTCGCGCTGGTCGCGGAAGAAAGACTTATTTCCCGATGGACTGAAAATTTCTGCACGTGGTGATGTACAGAAACTTTCGAGAATGCCCGACTGAATCCACGGTTGGTCCATATTTCGCACATTACTGTATGGCGGAATTGTACCGTGCGACAGATATCTACAGATATCTAACTTCCAGATTGTCAAGTCGTTTTCGGAGCAATCCGTTATAGCGGTTATTTTCCAGTAGCTCTTCGTGGGTTTGTCGACCCCAGAAGGCAAAGCAGCCCGGTTTAATGTTGTGAAAATTAACTGAGTATTCGTCGCTGGCCTGTTTCGGCCGGAACCGAATACAAGTTATTGTCAAGCTTCCAGTGCTAAATTAAAGATATCGCTGCTTTATAGCAGTCAACAGGAACGTCAAACAAGTCGATGTTATTCTGTCGTGTCACCGTTCCGACTGTACACATTAAAATGCCTCTGGATTTTTTCAGTTTGCTTCCTTACAGTGCTGCATCGTTGTCAGTGGACAGCAGTGTTCCGCTAACCGTACCGACGTTCAATATTATTGTGGTGCAACTTATTAGAAGAAAGAAGACAACTTGCCTTTTCACAAGTTTCCTCACCTCGCATGCACACAGTGCTGTAAAGTGTAAATATCCATTCGTCTGGTTCGCGATCCAATGCTTTCTTTAGAACTAGACGGCTTTTACAAATAATAGCCACAATTACGTTTTAGTCTCCGGTTACGTTGAGTCTCCATATTAAAGCTATCACTGTCGCATCCTCTGAGTCGGCGCATTCGTCGCTAGACTAGCTGCTGCTTTCTGCATTTGGGAATCGGCATAAGTTTTCGAATCCTGGAGTTTGCACTGTTTTACGGTTTTTAGGTATCTGCATTCCTGATCCGAAAGCGATAAAATAAACCGGGGTCTTCATAACAAAAAAAATTCTCCGCGACACAATAACAGCGATTCATCTTTTCGAGAAAACTCGCTGATCGATATATGACTTTAGGAGCCGTATGTCGTGTACATTGAAATTGGCAACATTTCTGTTTTTTTTATATTCCGAAAATGCCGGTACGTTGTCGCGTAAATATGACGCTAGGTTCTGATAACCCTTCTCGTACGTATAATCGGCTAAATGCCGATTATAATCGGGCCCCAAACAATGTTCGGTGGTGCATCGGAACCGACTCGCTGAACCGGGATTTCGCTGGCCAGTCCTTAAATTTAAGAAGCAGCTGACTACCGTTTTCATCAGTTACACGATCGACACAAAAACACAAAATAGTTAGGTTTCCAGATTTCACACACAACGATAAGGCTCATATATATTTACTTGCGCTCGCATATAGTTGTACTCTTTAAAATTAAGTACTGTCTTTATTAGCATATGCATGCCTTTAATTACCGCTAGTACGGTTTTAAAGCACCCCGCACGCAGATATTATACTCTTTACACTCCCTTTCGTCTGGTGCATTTGTTTTACGAAGAATCAGCGTGGCTGTAGATCATAAATATGGTCGTATGGCGCCACTTTGTGGCTTCAGAATGCTTCTCCCAACCGGAATGACATAGCGCTGTTAACGGTATACGGTTCTTAACGATAAAAGATCCTAATCGTCCGATCCATTGTAAACCGGCGAAAAATGTATACAGTTCTGCAATTTTAACTTTCCCTGAATTTTAAACTGCTACTAAAACACTATCGGAAAACCGGAAACAGCCTAAGCCGTACGCTAGTTTCTGCGTCTAAAACCTACAGATTTTGAAAATACGCAAAAGAAGAATATGCTGTGTCGGTACTCGTACATGTTTAAAGAAAAGGAATAAAGCGTAACTGAAAATTTAAAGATATTTTTTTATCTCGCTGCTAACTGTATTGTATCGTTGGCCGCTTGGCCCTGATTTCGCACATTTCTCGGTGTTACATTTACTTGTATTCTCTGCGAATGCCGTATCTAGCACTCAGATAAATTACTCCGTATTTGGCAGCATATTATTCAGCGATTTCGCTCAATGTCTGCGTGCCGGTTATGGAGTGATTTTCGTACCTAATCATAAGCTTACGAAAAGTAGGAGCTAACGGAAAACCGGTAACCGTTCAACGCTGAATGCCACCGCCAAACCCGACATCTTACCATTGGGAATCGTACAATACGAATATATTCAGTAATGCAAAAGTTAGTTGGTAATTTGACTAACTGCCGAGTGCATCGTGATAACAGACATGCAGTCACATGCTGAACAGGAACAGTGAGGGGCCGCGGTGATGTGGGTACTGCTGCTGCTGGCGGGCACATTTACGCCGTGGGTGGTCATGATACCCGTACCCACACGTTGGCCACCGTGGAGCGCTAGAACGTGGTCAGCAATGTGGGAGTATGTGGCATCCTTACCGACGCCTTTGGAGAAATGTACCGTCGTCAGTCTCGTTCCAGCAGGTGTACGCGTTCGGAGGTTGCACGTCGAATGCTCATACTATTACCAACTCGGCATTTTTTACGACCCAACATCAAACGTGTGGCACGAGTTGCCCCCGATGCCGACTGCACGATACTGCCCTTCCGCCTGCGTCGGATCCGACGGATGGATCTACGTTATTGGTAATCAAATACCGTTAATGCAATGTGCGGTATTTCTGTTTACATTTTTTATGTCTTTGGTTTAATTTTTGGTAGGGGGATATGGATCTCAGGGAAGTGTAGGGTGCGTGGAGGCTTTTAATCCGACAACGAAGCAGTGGTTAAAGAAATGTGAGTTCTATGTCTCAGTTCAAACCAGGGCATTTTCGCGTGTGAAAATTCTGCGAATTTTCCTATTAATTTGTGCAGAATGGTAGTACAGATACACATATGGGAAGTGTTTAAAAATAGTCTGAAGTGAAATGGTCCAGTCTCCAGACTGTGGATCATAAAAAATTTAGGAACTATGTAAAATCTGCCGTAAGAGCGTTTATTATCCAGTATCGATTTTCAAGTGGAGCCGCGCATAATAAATTGTAGTGTTTTGTACAGAGTAGGTACGAAGTGGGTTTAGTCTTCGCAAAAACCGGTTTTGTGCGTTCACATAAAGCCGTGACTAAACCACACAGCATACAGAGCAGCAAAACGCATTGCTGTATACTGTGTTAGCCAGCAGCTAAATAAAGTTTCCCGAATTTTTTCCTAAGAGGAAGAATGAGACCGATGCACTTGCAACCAGAAAGAATTTTAAAATTTTTCTAAACTTTCCATACGCATGCTGCCTGTCTGCACAGTATGAAGTTTCTCTGAATTTACACCCGGACCCGGTAAATGTGCCCTGGCCAAATGTCTCATCTGAAATCAAATCTTCTGAATCAAATACCTGCTTTTCTTCTTTATAATAGGTGACATAGGCCGTCTTCTGTACGGCGTCGGAACGTGCTGCATGAGTGACAAAATTTTCGTTTTGGGCGGCATTGAAAGAACTGAAGGTGAGAACACGGTAGACGTGTACGATATACTTTTGGACACATGGACGCCCAGTGACAGCCAGTTGCCAAATGGGCCTTCGGTTATACTGTAGTTGAAATGTGAACTGTTTAATACCACTGATTGTAAACTATTATTTTGATTTGTAGTTATTTGTAACTAACAGATTTGTTGCCGCAGTGATCCCGTTGTGTTCTGCCCGTGTCCTTGCAGTTGCCACGGGCTTATTTAACTGTAGCAGGGCGATTTAACTGTAAAGCATAGGGTGGCTCTTTTTCTGCAAAAACATGCAGCGCGCGTCGAACAGAATTATGGATCTGTTTCTCAGTCGGCAAAAGCAAGTAAACTCTCGTCACCATCTTATTATAGTCTCCTTCTGTTGAATCTCCAGTGTTGATCCGGTCCAAAACATTTCGTAGATGTTGCTAATCAATAATAACACCGCTTTGCGGGTGGGAGGGCCTGCAGGATAAAAGCATTTATTGAGAGCTGTACGACAAATCGTTTGGCCGAATTCCGCATGACGGAGAGATCAGTACGATAGGAATAATTACCGTAATAATCTGTCCTACCGACCTACTCAACGACAGAGTATGAGCTAATATCTCAATGTGGCATAGCTAAGCCTACGAAACTACGCGAAGCGAGAACTGCACCTCCGACGATATTTTAATTAATCACTCCGAACATTGCCAAACTCAGAATGAGAGAACTGATAATCAAAGTACTGCCACTCACGGACTTATATAGACACGGCGCATTCGTGTAGAAATAACCAAAAGTAAATCCAAACACTAAAGGAAAGATCGAGAATGTACAGCGAATAATAGAAAGTACGAGTAAACTCAGTAAAGCCGTCACTTTACGTACGAATCGCTACTGTACTGCTATATTCCGTCACGCAAAGCCTCCAGCAAAACAGTCGCCCTACAATGTACGTGACCGGTCACGTATAGAAGGCAACTGGCTGATATCACCAAAAAGGTACAGAATCCTGCCGCCGGAATTTACGTGCGAATCTCAAATAAAGGGTGTACAATGACGCTAGCTGGCCGCTCCGAAACTAAATTTCAAAACAGCAGCAGCGGATGGCGATAGTTTTTACGGCATGTGAAAGGAGTTATGGCTATAATGGCTTATAATGTGGTAATGTAGCTATAATGTGGTATTACCGAAAAACTGGTATTATGTGGAATCACTGAAATGTGTGATTATATGATTTTCATACTACTTGGATGTAAGTACATGATCTCCTCCCCAGGAAATGTCCGTCCGGGAATAAGGAAAGACGGCTGCGTTATCGAAGTATTCGCTGAATTTCTTGGCGTCCAGTGTGGGCGATGTTACAATACATTTCAGGGCGGGGTGCCTTTTAAGGGCCGCTTTCGGCAGTCCAAGGACGATGTCGGTGTGCAGAGTTCGCTCATGGGCCTCATCCAACGTTACCACAATATAAAGAGTCAGATCAGATTCAAAAGGCATTCTCGCAGTAAGGTACCGTCCGTCACGTACTTTAAGACTGCTGCGCTGCTTGTGCAGTCCTCAAAGCGGACAGTGTACCTGTTTGCAGGATGAAATGGTACCGTTTGAATTAAATAGAACTTTACAAAGCTCATGTCTTCGCTTGCAGCCAGTCTCTGGACGGGTGCGTTCCCTTTAAGTACAAGGAAGAAACGTATTGCGTTGCTGGTTTTTCTTAATTTGTGTATCTTTGACATTTAGCAAAGACAAAATTGACTGTTCTTTCTGAGTGCTACCCTTTCACCTATCCGACCTCTTGTCCCAGCTGACGGTTGAGCTCCTCCGCTACCCTTTTCGCTAGTGACATAACAGCTCAGTGCATGCATTCTTCCGCGCGTTGTAAAGCACTCTTCCCCCAAATACTGTGTGATCTGTGTTGATTTTCCACTGCCGGTTTCGCGAACTACGACCAGAATTTCGTTTTTGCTGATGTCTTTCAGCAGCTCGTCACGCAGTTCATGGATCGGCAGCGAATGCCGTTGATCCATATGGACATTGTCATTTGCGGATGCAACATCAATAGAACACGAAAACGTTTCTTGTATAAAGCGATTTCATGTGCAACAACCTTGGTGTGAAAAAATATGTGTAAGTACGTGTAATAATAAGCAACTTTAATAACACGATGTGACAGTGTCTGGCCCAGTGGCCAGCAGAGCGACTGCACTAGGAATAAGTACAGCAGCACGTAGTGCAAAAGAAAGTACTTTTACCTTAATCGTAAATAGCCTTTACCGTATTGTGTTATAGTACCAACAATTTTTGTACTTTCGATGCTAATTTTGATAACGGGTATGATACAAAAATTCCTGTACATAAAACCGGGGACTCCGTATTCTGGGCAGCGTATCATTTAGCAGCTCAGCTAAATGTTCGTGTGCTTGGTACGGAGGAGCGTTCCCTCAAACGTCCTCGAGGCTATTCAGGAATCGTATGGTACCGGTAACTTCATTTCTAAGTGTCCTGCGTCTAGACTACAATTTGCGCTAAAAATTTAGCAAAACCAACAAAGTACTGGCGTACACACTGAAGTACTGACGTACTGTTATCGATGCTGCACATTAGAAAAATAATACATTTTTTTAATTGACAATAATAGCAGTTAAATATTTAAAAATGTTTAGTATAAAACGTTTAAATTTGAATCATTTTAAGTGGTATTACGCGTATATGCACTTTGTGTAGTATGGCTTTGCCCAATGAAATTTTTCACACCACTTAGTTGTTACAGTACATAGTTATTATACAAGAAGTTTTTCCAAGTTCAACAGCGACAACGAAGGAATGGGAAATATACAACGTACGGTGTGCTGGCATTGTTGTTGTTGTTGTTGCATAAAATAATGTACAGTGTGTGCGTTGCTAATTCAGTTGCCAGGCAATTGTTGCCTTAAAGTGTAAGTACTTACGTATTAGTTGAGCACCTATTAGTGTACGTACCTGTTAACGTTAGTACTTATTATTACCTCACATCTTACGCACGTGCGTGCAGAGCTTATTCGCGGCCATTTCGAGCTCGCCGTTACTCATGCTCTTCCTTGCTCCAGAATCGTCAAATCAGTCGAAACTTTACCAAGCTTATCCAGCATGTTGATAATGTCATATTATTTTCGTGTTTAATTAGCGTGTCTGTCTTCGAAAACTGGTCTGGATTTTGACTGAAGGGACTAATGAAGGAATTTTTTCTTATAAATCTATCTTTTAGCTGTTTTTCTCTGTTCCGAATATGCCGCAGCCAAGGTAAGTAAACTGGTCCATGAGAGATGATGAAAACAAAATCTTGAACGCTTCGATGAATTTTGTTGCTGAATAAGAGAATTTTTGGTTGATCGGTTCGTTGAGTTTTTCGTCGGCTTCCGGGTTCTCTTCGTTTTCGTCATTGCTGACCACTCTATGCATCCAACGGTCAAAGGTCAACGGGTTTCCCTGTGCTTTCTGAGGATATTCGCTGCCACCTTGGAAGACAATATTAAGTAATCGTTTATATCTCGAAACGTGTTTGCGTCGGTTGATGCTGTCGTACAAAATGCTCTGCTAATTATTTTACGCTGTTCTTCCACAGTCACACAAACTTTCAACCATGCAGTTGTCTCGACACAAATCAAATTTACGGCAAGGGTTGCGACTGGTTACGTATCCTAGTTTTAAAGGTGCTTAGTGGGGTTCAATGACGGCAGCAGTACAGGAGCACGGTGGAAGGCGTTTGGTTTCGCCCTTATATAATCATGTTTCTTGTACGGTTCTAAATCTAAATCTCGGATCTACCTCTCTTTCCATTTTGAATTCAACGGCGTGCAAGGAGTTTTCGACCCATTTGTTCCTCTGCTTTCGGTTTTGGTGCCACTTATTGCCATGTCAACGTCCGCCATGTTATCTGCCACTGTGCCACCAGCTGCCACGCCGAGGGCAAAAGAAAATGTGGCGCAAAACTTCTCGACTCCAGGAGGACCATATATGTATATGTATTAGTGATACGAATCGGAATTGTTCTGATATTTAGGATGTCAGTTAAAACCTCCCAAGGGTGCCGAAACTGAGGTTCTTACTTTTTCGTTTTTAATCGACAATGTGTCCTCTATCAGTAGGTCGTGAATTTTTTAAGACACATTTTGTCTCTATGGAAATAATTAATATGGTTCGGCGCACAGCTAGCTTTATCGTACGTACAAGAACACTGAAATAAGCATCCTCACCCGAAAATTTTTGGACGCACACCCGAATACCTTCGCGTCTTTACCGGGGCATTGCCAATTCGCTGTGCGGCCCGACTGGCATAGCGAAAATTGTAACAATTTGCTGAAGTTCATTCTCGCATGCATGATGCCGGTGCTAGTTGGTGGACGTTCTTTGGTCCTAACTGACTGCAAATTGACGGGGGAAATTTCAACGTCATATGCGACGGTTTCATATATATCGCGAGATGTCCCCAGGACGTACTGGCGCAACACAGAGCCCCAGGGCCGCCGCGTGGTGAAGCGCGAGAAAACAAATATAATTCCAATATAAAATCAGATAATTTATAGTGGGCGCCATTCTCACTCTAGAAAACAACGGCGCTCCTGCTTCCAAAAAGCTCACAACCGCCCTGCCGCTACTTACTATTAAATGTTGCTTTTAAAACGATGTTTATTATGAATATGGTGCGAAAAGGGGTGCATGTAATAAACGGAGATGCGAGAGTGTACCTATAACGGTTTCTTAATATAAATCACGTCTTGGCAGCAGTTTTCGGGCAAGCGATACCTGCTCACAGAGATTTGTATTTCTGTAGAGGGGATTTGATAAAGCGAAAAGTTGGAGAGCAAAACATTCTTGTCTCTTTACAGCAAACAACATGATAAACGTTTTTAAAAACCTAAACACCGTCATTAATCACTCAAATCCATGTCAGCTATTTCATGAGCTTCTTCGTCGCGAAATAAGATATATACTAAAACGCTCACATTGCGCTCGAGATTCCGTTTCTAAGGTTCCCTCCCTGTTTTGCGTTTCTTTGCTGCTTGCTGCAATTGTATTTCCTCGCTGTCCGCAAATAATGACCGTTGAGTTGTCTATATCCGATAGTGTGAGAATAATTAATACTTGTAATCCAAACAGAGAACTAAAACAAAACAAAGAAGGCGCGTTATTCGCATTCTGACGACTGTGTCTGGATGGCGCCACCCAGACTTCCCAAGTGATGTAAGCCGATCAGCGCAAAAGCGCATCTGGGAAATTGAATCTCAGTACCACAGCACTTTTAAGTTCTCGGTCATCATGTGTAATGTGGGTTTTTTCCTCGTCCCTTGTCGTATATCTCTCCTGCTGCACGCTTAAGTGGTAACAGCTTTTTTCCCAAACCGATGTTGTTTCCCCATTTCTTGAATAATATATTTACGAACAATTTGTGGCAGCAGAAACATGTTCTTTCGACGTATTTGAAACCCGCGTGTTTCTCCTAGTACGCTAATAAGATACCGGTTTTTTTTCCAAAAAATAATTTAGGTTTCATTGGTTAAGGTTAGCTCGAGACATACTGTAGTTACATTCGACGTAACCCTTCATACTAAAAACTTTTATAACTCATTTTCTTATCTTCAAGGTAAAAAGTAATTTTTTCAGAAGGAGCATGTTGTTTTTTGCAGCGCTGCAAGGCCTTTCTCCGTCAATTATGGTTTTTAGTGCAAATCGTTGCAATCGCGCACCAGCGGTGGTATAGAACGTTCCAAGCATATCGCGTTACCAGATAATGTTACAACGTTTCACGGAGTTTCAAGCCACATTCCCATTTTAAGTTGACTGATATTCAACACGCACATTGTTACGCGTAAAAACGCGGAGTGCAAAAGACGCTTTAAACATACGGCGATCATGTACAACTGAAGTATCGTGTGTGGTTTTTTTTATGGCAAACGGTGACACCTTTGTGTTGCTGATGCCACTTTCCATCCGTCTCAAATTAACCATTCCTACGAGCTCTGCGCAATTGCTTTAACAACTACAGCGTGTAATTATTGTTTACGGATGCCCTGGCGGTGTGCAAAACATTTTATGAAATTACAGTACTATTCTAAAGAAGCATACAAGTGAAAAACCTCCCCGTTACTGCATTAAGCCATCATCTTTATTAATTTGCGTTTTCAAGCAGCAAATTTATTAGTTACTTAGGTCCATATCGAAAATTAATTACCGATTAAGAGAACCACACATGTTTAAACCCTTCTATCATGAAATTTAAATATAGGTACAGTACTAGGATAGCGATATCTTTTGCGGAATGTCGATGTTTCCAGTTTCTCTGTATAGTGCTTTGCAGGGGAAGTACAAGTACATGCAGTATAGCATTAACACGATTTTGTGAGTCATGCGCAGTCATCTCTTCTTGTTTTGCGTAGCTTTGAGTGGCCGTGGGCGTCTTTTTCTCTCGTACGTTGATCTGGATGTCTCTCGCGCTTCTTCTGTACTAAATACTTCCGTCATTATGCACAGTTAAAGTTGTGACAAACGCTCGCTACGATTAATTAATGCGCACAATAATAAACAAAATTTTAAGGGAGGTCGAATTAGAAATTTAACCAGAAGAAATCCAGCACCAAACCGGAGATGACCTTTATCCGGTTTCGCTCATTCCTTCCGATAAAGCTGAGTTCGTCAATGGGAATAATTTTAACGTCGTCCATTGCTTCCTGAATGCATGAAGTTCATCACCATCCGAATTGCGAAACGCACGGTTAACCAAAACGCCAAGTTTAAAATGATGTATGGTCGAGCCGTTAGCTTCGGAGATTGCTAGAGTAGTCTGCACCGCATAAAAAATTACCATTTACATGATGAACATATCTCATCATAGTGTTGGGTTTTCAGAGTTGTTTTCTAAGAGTTTTTATTACCTAATAAGGAGAAGAATAGGGTAATACGAGAACACGCATCAATGTACTAGAATTCTTTCCGGCGATCGGTCGTGTTCTTTATTCTTGCGTGAGGTTCACTTTGGCGGACATCTGTCGTTTAGCTCCAGTCCGGCAGACGTATGTCTTGTACGAAATTATTGTGATCAATAATTGGTTCAAGATGGTCTTTTTGGGTTTCGAGATTTGTGTGACCACGGTTCGCACCCTTTTCAGGAGAATTGTCGTTTTTGTTCCTGTCGTTTTTGGGATTTGGACGCTATTCTACTTTTTTGGGAAAATCTCTTATTACGGGAACGGTTAAAATCGACAAATATGGTTGAATGCCCACGTGTGCTTAATTCCGGTGGCTCAGATGCTCGTGTTTCGAAGGGCATACGGTGGTCGGCGTTGTACTGCGCGTCATTGTATTCCGTTAGTGTAATGTTGTGAGCAGTGTAACGCGGACTATAAGCAACTACAGCGTTCGTTTTTTGCCGAATATTTTACTGGCCGCTCGCCCAGCATCTTCACACACCGTTTTACAATGTTCTTATGCAGAGGTCCGGTGTTTTCGCGGTCATTGGTTTAGGATTTCGGAACCGGTTCTACCGCTGCGATATCATTATCGGTCACGGTCTTTAAAAAATAAACACTTTGGGTTGGTCGCCCGATGTTCGAGCATACGATTGTCAGTTATTGTGGTTGCTGTGGGTGGATGTTCAGTTTGCGAATACTGGGAGATCGCGCTGGATTTTAATATGAAATGCTGAATCGAAAGGGATTTGTTGTCGTATTCATGTTCAACCGAACGCTGTTCGATAATACAATACGTATATCACTGACATACTCGGGTTCGGCATATCGGGCTAGTAAACGTTCGGGAATATAAGCCGTTTCATTTCATTTTTAAGGACATGCGGTTGAGGTTTGTTATAGCGCCGAATAGAGCGCTGGTTTTTAAGGGAAATTTGCGTTAGCTACTCGGTTATATCATCCGTCATAACAAAACGTGCTACCGCTGCGCTCTGTAGTGGTTCCGCTGTGGTCAGTTATGCGGTAGATTTCCCATATCCCGGAGTTCCAATAGAACACCACATGCACTGCTGGACAAATAATCGGCCTCCCTGCGGCATCGCTTTTAAGATACAATTGCCCAGCGCCTCTGATTTTGACGCCCAGTCTGGTTATGATTTGGCAAATGTTTTCTTGCTGCAGTGCAGTAGCGCAGCTGATGCAGCACCAGCGCACTATGATATAATATTACGATATTACGGAAACTGCTAATAATAAACACTAGGCTAATTCTTTTTTATAGCTTTCGTTCCAAGTTTTCTAGCTTTCGCTTCGCTTAAAATTGATCACGCCCAAATTATTTTGTAACTAAAATTATGATGTTTTTGTACTACATTCAAATCTTTGAGAAAATTTTGAAATTATCCAAATTGCTTCAGTAAGGCTTGTACTGTCGTCACAAATTAACTGGCAGCCTTAAAATTAATATAACGGTTAACCTGTAGTGTATGCCATAGCAACACTCATGATGTTGTCCTCTGTAATATTAATTGCTCAGTTGAATAGCGTGCTGAAAGTCTAAATTAATAAATCGTATTAGCGTACACGACAGTGGCGTGAATGGATAGAGAATTCTGAGTTACGGTCAGATTGGAAAGGGAATTGTTATACCATAACGCACTGCACCATGCCTACGACGAGATCGCAGACAGCTCTGGCGACAGTTCCTTCGCATTCTGCGATGGAGCGATTTGATCCAGACAACACAGACTGGGGTGCATGGAAGCAGCGCTTTGACAACTTCGTCGTCCTGTTGGATGTACAGGATGATAAGAAAGTCAACTTACTGGTGGAAAGTTTGGAGCGCAAAGCCTTCGAGTCCCTGTACCAAGTATGCTATCCGCAGAAGATTAAAGAGTTCACAGTGGAGCAGTTGATATACAAGCTGGATCGCTTGTACGTCAAGCAGACATCAAAACATTACGAAAGGTCACAATTCTTCCGTCTCACCCAGCAACAAGGAGAAAGCCTTGTTGAATACAGCAACCGCCTCCGGGCGAAGTCAATCAACTGTGAGTTTACTGGAACGATATTGGACGAGATGCTGCTAGCTGCTTTCCTGGGCGGAATCCAACGGGAGAAGACGCGACAGCACCTGTACAGCAGGGAGCCAACCAGCATAGAGGGAGCGCTGGCCGATGCGCAAAAGTTTGAAAGCAGAATGGAGGAGAAGGACGAAAGGGTGATGGCCGTAAGGGGCAAAGGACCGAAAGGGGTAACGTGCACAGGATGCGGACGACGCCACCTCGTAAAAGATTGTTGGTACAAAAATATGACGTGTAATAAGTGTGGCGTAAAGGGCCACTTACAAAGAATGTGTGGTGGAAAATCCAATTATGTTTATGAAGAACCGGAAAATGTTAACGAGATAGTCAAGTACACCGATATTTTTGATTAACGAGCTGTTTTCCTTTTTTTTTGAGAAAGGAAGGTGTAGTGTATGCCATAGCAACACTCATGATGTTGTCCTCTGTAATATTAATTGCTCAGTTGAATAGCGCGCTGAAAGTCTAAATTAATAAATCGTATTAGCGTACACGACAGTTAACCCACTGTATACCGCGTTCTTTTGGTTACCGAATGGGACGAATCAAAATGTCTCACTGCTGCACTTTCTTTAATCAATTTTCCAACAATAAAAAAACAGTAGTGGCAACAGGTAACAAAGAAAATCTACAATTAAAGAAACGCTACTAAATAAAATATCACTGCTTAATCTGCTACGCTATCGCTACGCGGAAACTAAGTTTCAGTGCTGAATAGGAGTGTTTATTCCGGGTTTGCAAAATATGTGTAAGACCGCTTCGTGTCCCACTCTACCGATACAAGAAAGAGAACTTTGTTTTGGTAATTTCTAGCGAATTTTTTATTCTCCTTTGCGCGCACCGTGACATTTGCTTTATTACCAGTTTAAAGCGGTACATCCGTAACGCTGGCGTTATCCTGGATTTTTTTAATAACGATTGCTTTGAAACGCTATATCTATATTAATTTTGTCGTATTAATTAGCTGCATAGTTTACGCGCTGGTCCGCTTCAAGCTATGCGGAAGAAAAATCTTTTTCCCGATGAACTGAAAGTTTTTGTAGGTGTTGTTGTACAGAAACTGTGAAAAATACCCGACTTTATCCACGATTGGCCCATATTTCGCACATTTCCCGGTTATTACAATTTATGTACTTGCCTTTACCTGAATTCATTGCACATGCGTCTAGACTGTAGAGCTGTTAAGTATCCAGGCAAATTACTCCGTATTTCGGCAGCATATCGTTTAGCTATTTTGCTAAATGTTTGCTTGCCGGTTACGGGGTGATTTTCATTTCGTAACTTCAAGCGTACGAAAAGCCACTCAATATATATATTTGTTTAGTGCAAATAAGGTGCCGATGGTAAAACCAGAATCTTCTACATCTCATTCAGAATACAATAATACGAACATATTCACTAATTAAAAGTGCTTTGTTCGTGGTTGCGTTAATTTCGGAGTTAATCGTAATATGCGTAAATATGTACAAGCCCAGCGCGGATGAATAATGTCTGATGATTTTGAACATGTTTACATTAAGGAAGTACGAGCAAACTTTTGAATTTTTGGAAGATGTTAACAGAGTGTGCTTCTGTGCCCATAGTAAGTAACAATCTGGGGATTTACAAAAAGCCCATGTTAAGCTAATGGCCACCATGGTAACAAGCTTTTGAGTGACCACTGGACTGTGGGGATTGAGCTTTCCAGAAAATTTATGATGCAGGAACACTCTTGACACTGAGAGGATTCTGTAGCACTTTAGAGCGTGCAGATTGGATGTGTGGAACGGGAGAACATAGAGTAGAACGGCAAAGTGTCGAGGACCCTTGTTACTTAGTTAGTATTCATATAATAAACTTCAAAAGACTTAACGACGCTGGCGGAAGTACTGGTACTTTCAAAGTTTCGCCTGGTACCGTATCGTAAAAGAGCTGTGCATCAAAGTCCACAACGGTAAACCCATATTACAGTAAGATTCCTTTACGAACTGCCGTATCATCTGTCCGATGGAGCGATAATTCGAACCCTACAACACCAGAGTTGTGTTAAAATGGCCTTGTGGGAATATTTGCGGTATAGTGGAATCTACCGCGCAGAACGTAACGATGGAACGGTAACGGAATGGTCCCATATCAGGGATATATAAACCGCTGTCCACTACATACATATTGGTGTTTAGCGTCATTTGATTTCTTATTAACTCCATTAGTCGTTTGATTGAATATATTTTGCGCGTAGTTCACTGAAGTAAAATTCACCATAAACCATGGAATCTCGTGTAATGTACGCTGTCCTGTTCGCCGTTCTCGTCGCCTTCGCATGTAAGTCAGCAACCGCAATGTTTTTACGGCAATACCGATAATATACGGTCTTATTGTTCCTGATAATTAATATTTTGATAAAAAAGTGCTTTTGTATACACAGTATACAGTTTCAAACCGTTCTGCTGCTGGTAAATTACAGAATATCTCGCTATATGGAAAATTCAGATATAATAACGACCAATTTAAAATAAATCTGTTATTCTTTTTTGCAGCTAAATAATAATTATTCTCCATTGCTTTTCATAACAACAAGCCAACCTTATAGTATTTCGATACGAACGTTTTGCCGCTTAATATTTGCACTGGGAATTTCTTTACTAAGGTTATTGATTTTTTCTGTAGCATGCTATCCGTCCAGTGAAGCCGTCAGGGATAAACGTAACGTAATAACCGACGCAGCCAAAGGCGGCCTGGGAGGAGCAGTGGCCGGTGCCGTTCTACCGGGCGTCAGTGCCAAACAGGGCGCCGCATTAGGCGCCGCCGCCGGGGCGGGAGCCGGTGCGGCTAAGAAGGATGCCAAAGACCATCAAGCGGCGGCTTAAACAATTTTTATTCTGTACATATGATAATAATTGTTATAATTATGTTTTGTGAAAAAAAATTGCCAATGTATCAGTAACCGCTCCTGACAACGAATCTGCAAACTGTTTTGTAAAAAAAGAGAATGATATCCTTCATGGATTCCAAGTGCTGTGCTTGCCGGTTTGATTAAACGCGGCGCTGTGGATCGTTTCGTTGTACTATAGCCGCAACGTTTTCGCAAAATAAATCATGCTGTTAATAACGGCTAGGTAGCTTTCTGGTTATTTAAACGCCGGTATACAACAGCATACAGCGAAGATTTCATTTCCTGATTTTATTGACCTTCATCCCGATCAGTATCACAGTCATGCGCCGCTGTAGTCGCCGTCTGCACTCTGGCATGTAGAAAAACGCATGGGCACACAAAATAATCTATGGCAAATATTTTGTAACGTGCTACCGTCAGCTAAGAAAAATTTAAATAGGAGCGCATTTTTTCGACCGTCCCGTGAAATCAGAATTTTCTGCTTTTTCCACGCATTGCCAGTATTATAAAATGAATTCCCGGGTATCGACAATAGTCCCCGTTTTCTTGATCCTGCTGATCGGCAGCACAGGTAAATGTCACTATTAATGGAAATAAAATGCTTAATGGAAATTTTGCTCGGTGATGGTTTTCAAAAGAAAAGAAAATTCGGATATCCTATTAAAAAACTATATTACTAAACAAGCGATAAAACTTCAGAAAACCAGTAAGATAATATTTATTTGTAACAACGAAGAAGAGAATAACTTTTCAACCCAGAAAAGTTATTAAAAAAATGTTTACTAAAAACCTTTATATTATTTTATAAGAAAAGTTGGTGAAACTTGTTAGTGTATTCGTGGCAAATAATTTTACAGTTTGTGTGCCGGTACATTCCGTCGCCAAGCGCGGCGTGGTGAAGGACGCCATCATCGGCGCCATCGGTGGCGCGGTCCTCGGGGCGGTCGTGCCGGGGATGAGTGCCAAGCAGGGTGCGGCAGCGGGAGCGGCCGCCGGGGCCGGTTACGGTGCCTACAAAGACTACAAGACGAAGAAGCAGCAGAAACAGGGACAGCAAGGCGCCGGGAACGTGCACCACGGCGATGTCAACCATGATGTCAATCACGATTATTAACGTGCAATGTACATTGACTAATCTCGCTTTTTTAGCCGTACACACTTTTTAATTCTTAAAACTGGGCTTTCTGGCACTGCTTTGCATAAATGGGTTGGTTTAGTGAAGAGCGGCGAGTAAAACTGATGTTTTCCGGGAATATGTCTTAATCACGTCCTCCAGAAGCGTTTGTTGAGCACTTCGCCTAATATGTTGTGTAAAGATTGCACCTTGAGATGTTTGTGCTGACCGTTTGATCAAGTGTTTAGTTACTTGATGATTGTAATCGCCGGTTGACTCATCGTAACCCGAGCGCGTGCATTTCCGTTGAAACGGTTCGACAGTCGGTAAAAGCGGTGCAGTTGCGGTGCGTATTCTGTACGGTACAGATGCGTACCAACATCAATAACACGGAACAGAATATAAACAGCATTAATCACATGTGCTTTTTGAGTTGTAACTGACCGACAGTTATAGTCGCTTTTGGCTTTTCTTAAAATCCATCAATTTTACATAATAATAAGCAGCAGCCAGTTGCTCATTAGTTCATCATCTTTCCTCTTCCCAGCACAATGAAGACTTGTCAGAAGGGTTGTGCGACGATCATGGTTGCGGTGCTTTTCTTTAGCAGCACACGTAAGTAAATGTTATGCTAATTTTGGTAAACTGTTTATAAGTTTTAACTAAGAGATCCTGATGCGCGCTGTAATTATATCTGCATACGTACTTTGTACTTTCTAAAATATTTTAGACATGTTTCTGGAATGTTATTGCAGTACATCATTCACAGTACCTAATTTTTTTGGCCGTTAGTTTCGGAACAAAATTATTCGTGTAATGGTACCATAAAATAGACACTCATAATGTATCATATCATACTTCATGCTTTTGTTCGTTATACATATTTCCATTTACATACTCCATTATGTATGCCAAATATTTCAGTGCTTCCTTTTTTTGCGTTAGAAAATAAGGATTTACATAGTACAATGATGTACTAAACGCGCATAGCAAGACAATTTGTTGACTTCTCTAGGAAATTTAAGAAACTGTATGCTTACCACTTCCACTGTCTAACGAAGTTAAGTAAAGTGTACTGTATATAAAATCACCAAACTTAATTAATTTAGTTTTAGTTTGTGCACCGCTGGAGAATTCACGGTCGAAACGCGGAACGGTCCGGGATGCCATCATCGGAGCCATAGGTGGCGCCATCATCGGAGCCGTGATACCGGGTGTAGACGCCAAACAGGGCGCACTAGCCGGCGCCGCTCTGGGTGCGACTGCCGGTGCCGGCTACGGTTACTATAAGGACCGGAAACAGAAGAAGAAGGGCCAACAAGAGCAGGGAGGGACGAATGACAATACTAATGACGAGTACATCGACCGACATCGGGACTTTGCATGAGAGAGAATGCATATTTTTATGATATACTTTAAAATGTGATTCTAGAAAACCGATTCAAAAATGTACTTAATCTTATGATGTCTTTGGCTTTTGCCGCGATGTACGAATACTGGTACATGTGTTTTTGTATTTTTCCCCGAATACACATGTTCTCTGACCGCTAACATCTACCAGCGAAAAAAACATGCACCCAAAAGCAAATGGAAATTAATTAAGGCGCGCGCACTAACATTATAAAAATAAGAAATTAAGGGTTCTTTGTTTCTCTTCCGCTTTCACTGGGGAAATTTACCTCTGAAGTTTTTCTAAGAAATTTAAAGTAATGGACAAGAGCGGCGATAAGACTTGTGTTTTGGATGTCTTTTTTGTCATGTCACATAGCTGAAGTGCTTCTTTAATTTAAGACAAAACCAAAGTATAAATGCTCGTTCGGTTAATAAATGAGGCACTTCTAAATTGACATCCCGCCGCCAATCAAAACATCCCCATTACTCCCAGTTCCGCGGCAGTAACGATGACATCCCTGCGATCCACAGTACGCACAGCACATAGTTCCTCGCCCCGACCGCTTACAATCCCGATCCTCACGGCAGTCATCCAGCGGCCGATTGGGCGGAATATGCACTGGGCAGCTGCGCTCGCGATCCGCACGCAGCAGGTCATCGCCGTTGGTGCCCGGGCCGCGACAGTAGCGATTACACCGCCCATCCCCACAGTACGGGCAACAAACGGCCCCACGCCCCGTGGCCTGGCATTCGGCGTCATCTTCGCAGTTGTCGATGGTGCGACCTTTTGGGATGTCGACTGGACAAGAATGGGGCGAAACTAAAACAGAAATGTGTTTATATTGCGAATTCCGTTGCATGACCTTTGCAGTCTTAATCAAAAGGAAGAACGCAGCATAATCTTCTAATTTTAAAAAGTTTCAAAATTAAGCGCGAAAAATGTTACAGGTAAAACAATATCAAATACGTATTCTTATTGTTAGTGAAAATTAATTATAAAGCTAAAAAAAACTTTAACGGAATATGCACAGTGGTAGCGAGCTGGCATTCATAGAAGATAAAATATCGTAAGGAGATGTGTATCGAATATTCGAATCATAAGATTCATAACGGTGCCAAACACGTACAAAAACGATAAACGTGACAGGGAAGTAATTCGCGGCATTACTTAACATACAAAACAAGTTTAAAGGGTGAAGATGTCTTTTACTGTGTTGTGGCAATATGAGTTTTGTGGATAAATAAAGGTGAAATTATTTAATTAGAATACGACGTACGAGGAACGTTTTCGGGAGGCACGACTATATTACTGTTGTCGCCTTCGGAATGGCTGTCATCGAACCGGCACTGATACGCCATCATCAGTTTAGCCGCATCCAGTATCGTCATCGCATGCCGTTGGCCCATTTTCACAGCGCCCGGCATTCGTGGGATAATCGTCGGTCGCTGCAGATCTTTGGCGAAATCGAACGCCCCATAGTGCATAACCGACTCCACATCGTAGCCGACATTGTATGTCTCCATCAACGGCAGCCGATCGAAATTATTGAGAAACTGCTGATTGACATTGTCCAGGAAGATTTCGACATACTGGTCACGATCCGGTCGGGATTGTTCATGGAACAGTCCGAGGGAGTGGAGGATTTCATGCTGGATGATGCCGGATGTCATGCAAGAATGGTCTAGGTTAATGGGCTGTTTGCCGCCTTGGCGACCCACAAATGAATTGCATCTGTTATTGAAAAACGCAGTTTGAAGGGGATTTGTTACCAAATCATCCGCGCTCGTAACCCCGGCTATAAATTACCCGAGTCCGCGTTGAAAGTACAAGAAATCTGTTTCAGTTTCGACCGGTTTGAACGTAATGCATCCCAGTGTCCGGCGTTCAATGGTTTGCAGGGCGGTGGCAATAATCTGTTTCTCGGATGGCGCTACATGGTAGTCAGATTAAATTATGCATGTAAAGGTCATCATTCTAACCAGATGTCTACTTTTCGAAGATAAACAGCTGAAGTATCTGCTCGTAGCGATTTGAATTAATGCGCTTATTAAATCAGCGTGGCAGCAACCGACATTTAGAAACGGCTGTGTACCGACCCTAATTTATTTGATGGTTGACGGTTCTTACAGAATGATTCGCTGATGTTAAACGGGATGGCTGTTCCTCCGTTGGGCCAGATATTCTCCGGTAACAACTGTCCAGCTACCGTTGTGGCTGACGCACCATCGCTCAACTGTCCACTGGCCTTCAGCAGGATGTCACCGTGGAACAGGTTATTATTGGCAGCTGTAGATTCTTTGGACCACAGTATCGAAGGATCAATGCGGCTACGCCAGTCTACGAATCGGACATTCATGATTTGCGTTTGTGATATTACGTTGTTGTATGTCGGACATTCATGATTTTCGCTCAAGATATTACGACGTTCTATGTAGTTTTGTGCGCACTTAGTAACCCATGATTCGGGACAACATTGGTGTGTATTGGGGCACTTACCTGCTGGCAACGGTTCTGCGTAGGCTGTGTTTCTCCAGACAAGCGACTTATACAATGCAAAAACAGCCAACACTTTAAACATGGTTATCAAAATTTATGCTGTATACAGATCCGAATTACGCTTCCGCCTAATGGAGTCAGGGAGAGAAAGATATTTTATTGCGCTTTTCTAGCGTAATGCTAAACATTCAGCATCCAGCTGCAGGTTTTCACGTTTTTCTGCTGCTTCATTCGGCGCGGTGTTTTGCCTCAAGGAAGCATGTATCCATCTTAAAATTCTTAGCAATTTTAATACCGGTTCTTGGTATGGACGACGCAGTGTGAATTCATTGCTCATTACTCATTAATGTCAAAACATCTCACTCTTAGCTGTGTGACAGATTATCAGAATTTTTAAGACGATCTAACGACGGGGCATCCATAGCATAAAAAAACATCAGCTAACTTAAAAGAAAATTTGCACTGTCAACATCTGCGCAGAAGCGATGGGATGGTCCGTATAACTGCAATAAGAGGCACAGTCGCTGTAACCGCATCCACCAAACTTTCTCCAAGAAGGCTATAAAATCTCTGCGAAACAGAAAACGGAATACGAATATAAGTTATGCAGTCGCGCCGACTGTGTTTCTTGGAGGACCATCGTTTCATCCAGGGTACATGTAGTGGATCTTTCCAAAGCTCCTAAATAAAAGGCTTTTTGTCCCTTGCAAGGTCGCTGTAACCGAATCCACCGTGCTTCCGCTAAGGATTCCAAATGTGGAGACAGATTAGTATTTGCAGATGATGTAGCAGGCGTGTACGATGCCTGGGATGTAGCCTAGCAGGGTTAATAGGATGTTTATACACAAATCTTCGCCGCAACCACGCTCCAGGGCCACCCCTACCGGCGGCAGGAACACAGCGAGCACGAACTTACAGCAGTCGGTCCCCTCAAGTGGCATTATGAGGGCACCGTCACGGATGGTAATCAGACAGCCTTATTAGCGGATTTCGGTTTTCCACTCCTGCAGTTATTATTAACTAAGCACTTGCTTAAACTCAACAAAATGAAACGTACGAGTACCAGACATTTTGAGGATGTGTTTTTATGTCGTGAGTCCGTGACAATGAAGTCCCTCAGTACCGAGTGACTGCTCGCATAACGCATTTAATAAACTCGAACGTTTATTATCCACTACCCCGGAACTGCAGCGTTTTTAATTTCTCAGAAAAAGTTAATGATTTTCTTCCGGATTCACGCACAGATACTGTACAGCCGTGTTGCCAAGGCAGAACAGTTACTGTAGATACTTACTATCTACTGTACTACAAGTAGTCATCCACCGACAACTGGAGGTAATGTAAGGTGCTGAGCCGAGCGTAAAAGTGTGTAACTATGTATCGTTCCCGTTTATACTTGTACATATTTTCTTTTCTCCTTCATAGACAAGTACTTGCTCTATAGCGAATTTGACCATCATCCTCATATCAAAATTTTTAAGAAGTTTGATTTTTCACTTCAACGCATTTCTTTCAGCTGTCCAAAACGTGCAAGAAATTATATATTATATTGATTAACAATAATATTGATTAACAGCCCTTTTATTATCTGCGGAGAACAAGAACAGCTACCACAGAATACTCGTATGAATTCGAGAAAAAATTTACAGCTTACGCTAAAATTAATAAATAATAATTAACGAAATATCATTTGCAAAACTTGGGCAGATACAACCAGCTATACAAATACATTCGGTACAACCAGTACTCGTATTCAAATACCACATTCGGCCCTCAACCGTTTAAAAAATTATCACTGAGACCTGCGTCTCGTCTAATGTGATATCTGGATAAGGGAGCATCCACCGAATTCCTCAGTTGCCGACACCATCGATCCGGGACGAATGGACGCTGGTCGGGAGGTTGACCTCCCGAAATGCTGCCAGCATTGTAATCGGCGCTAGCTTCTACACCGCTAAATACCCATGACAAACAACAGCAGAATTCAGAAGATTTCCGTATAGAATTTTAAGGCTTTTGCATTAAACGTGGTATTACATCAGTATTCGGCTTAATGAGCCGACTTAACGCGTTCGACCGAAGTGAAAGTCTCGTTTGCTTGTGGTCCAAACTGCCCGCACCAATTCCAAGCTTATTCAAGTACATCGTAACGCTTATTATCCAGGCAAATTTCGGGCTACACTGTACACACTCAGCTTCAAGTGTTTTCCTCATTACTGCTTACGCATAATTCCATTACAACTTTCAAGAAATCTTGCAGCGGATTCCTAGTTTTTCGGTGAAATCATGCAAACGACTTCGAGTGGACGGTTCGGAAAAAGTATAACATTCTAGCGGACGAAACTATTCCGCTAATTGTAAACGAAAATGACCATAAGTGCTCCGTGACTTTTGGCATTTAAATCTGATTACTCAGTTTCTAGACAGCAAAGAACTGCTAAGCCGGAAACATAGTTATAACTAGACGCTCAAGTGGGTGGTGGAATAATGTGAATCCAAGAATTTTCTACTGATGTGCATGTCCACAACAAACATGCTCAAAAACTTTCCTGGTCGCCGCTTGCAAGCTCGGCAAATTTGGGATACGCGTAAATTTGCAGCCGATAATATAAATAGATTCTCGAACGTTATGTTTGGTAATATTTCCGGAACACATTCTCTTATCGCTGTTTAACATTATAAGCTGGAAAATCGCTGCACAAAGATGACTTCGGTTGCGATTATTGGTGTCTTCGGTTTGATGCTAGTCGGTGCGCTAGCGACGCCTTCCAGACAGGAGAGAGGTGAGTCAAAGATCATTAATAATTATTAGCCACCCTAGCTGAACGCAGCTGCGCTCTATATTGAAAGCAGCCTGTATTACTTTTTGTAGAACTCATCGGCGAAGCGAGTGAGACAACTTTGCCGGCTGATTACGTGCTTTTCACCGAGCGATATTGCATAAACGGGAATCCCACCTCGCGGTGCGAGATGTCAACGGGAACCCTGTGCGAATGCTGCCAGGAATACTACCAGTGGCACGAGTGCATGGAGAGCCGTCGACGGGGATTTTGGTAGCATCTGCGCTTGGCCCGCCACTCTGATCGTTCATTGTTCATTGAAAATGACATATGTATAAAAAAAGACCCTGAAACTGCGGATAAATATTTGCATGGTAAACAGGAGAAAACGAATCCGACTGTAAACTGTCCTGCTTCACTGGGCAATGGTTCAATAAATATTCATAATATTTGATTATTATGATTGTGTGTCCTATGCTTTGATTCCACGGCAAGTTCACTGCACCAAAATAAGCATAAAAGGAAAGCATTAAAATTTTAATAAAAAAAACTGAGCCGATGATCGCGGAAAACCAAATTTTTTTATCGTTGTGCAACAATTTTACTTTTTCTTTTGGTGGCTATAATTGCTTTTTTACCTTGAATAGACGACAGCGTTTTCCTGTCAGCTCGGCTTGTAAAGAGTGTAATGTAAACCCACGGTATTCGCTTAAAATTTTAGTGAAAACTCTACTTTGTGTTGGAAAACATGGATCCTATGGCATCAGCTACGCCACCTCGTTGAGGCTGGTCATTCATAATCATGATGCATACCGTAACACCATTTTTTAGAACAAGTTTATTGTATCATTGTACATGCACAGTAAAATCAGAGATAGCCAAGCACAAACCCGACAAGTGTAATCGTGCACTGTTAGCGACTATTTTTTGCTGTTCAGAAAGCGCGTGAAATATTATTTTTAGGATTAGTAATAGCAAAAATCTATGCACCCACATATAACAAGAGCCCAGCTACCAAAATACTCGTATAGATCCAAAAAAAAGCTGACACTAAAACAAGTTACAGCCATCTGTCACACTAACCATGGTAAATGGTAAATGTATTCCCAAACTGTGTACTGGTAGTCTCGATTCTGGGACAACCAGAATACAACACGTTCGGTATGCAACTTGCTCATTGTATTAGAACTGGCTCAATCGGTACCAAACTTTTATCGCGCGACAGTCGCGGCAACGATCGCGACGCTGTGATGGCCGCGATGCCTGTATATAGCCGCGATGCACCGCGACACGGCAGATACCGCAGTCAGGCATACTGCCGCGACGCCGCGATGGCCGCGATGCCTGTATATAGCCGCGATGCACCGCGACACGGCATATACCGCAGTCAGGCATACTGCCGCGACGCCGCGATGGCCGCGATGCCTGTATATAACCGCGATGCACCGCGACACTGCATATACCGCAGTCAGGCATACTGCCGCGACGCCGCGATGGCCGCGATGCCTGTATATAGCCGCAATGCACCGCGACACTGCATATACCGCAGTCAGGCATACTGCCGCGACGCCGCGATGGCCGCGATGCCTGTATATAACCGCGATGCACCGCGACACTGCATATACCGCAGTCAGGCATACTGCCGCGACGCCGCGATGGCCGCGATGCCTGTATATAACCGCGATGCACCGCGACACTGCATATACCGCAGTCAGGCATACTGCCGCGACGCCGCGATGGCCGCGATGCCTGTATATAGCCGCGATGCACCGCTACACGAAATATACCGCAGTCAGGCATACTGCCGCGACGCCGCGATGGCCGCGATGCTTGTATATAGCCGCGATGCACCGCGACACGGCATATACCGCAGTCAGGCATACTGCAGCGACGCCGCGATGGCCGCGATGCCTGTATATAGCCGCGATGCACCGCGAAACGGCATATACCGCAGTCAGGCATACTTGCCGCGACGCCGCGATGGCCGCGATGCCTGTATATAGCCGCGATGCACCGCGATACGGCATATACCGCAGTCAGGCATACTGCCGCGACGCCGCGATGGCCGCGATGCCTGTATATAACCGCGATGCACCGCGACACTGCATATACCGCAGTCAGGCATACTGCCGCGACGCCGCGATGGCCGCGATGCCTGTATATAACCGCGATGCACCGCAACACGGCATATACCGCAGTCAGGCATACTTGCCGCGACGCCGCGATGGCCGCGATGCCTGTATATAGCCGCGATGCACCGCGAAACGGCATATACCGCAGTCAGGCATACTTGCCGCGACGCCGCGATGGCCGCGATGCCTGTATATAGCCGCGATGCACCGCGAAACGGCATATACCGCAGTCAGGCATACTTGCCGCGACGCCGCGATGCCTGTATAT